TAAATTCTAAGGTTGGGCCCTTACAGAGGCCTTTCTGTATCAAAAAAACACCCAATTTCTTTTTTCTTTTTTTTTTTTTGAGACAAAGTTTTGCTCTTGTTACCCAGGCTAGAGTGCAATGATGTGATCTCCGCTCACCGCAACCTCTGCCTCCCAGGTTCAAGCGACTCTTCTGCCTCAGCCTCCTGAGTAGCTGGGATTACAGGCATGCGCCATCAAGCCCAGCTAATTTTGTATTTTTAGTAGAGATGGGGTTTCTCCATGTTGGTCAGGCTGGTCTCAAACTCCCAACCTCAGGTAATCCGCCCGCCTCGGCCTCCCAAAGTGCTGGGATTACAGGCATGTACCATCAAAGCCCAGCTCATTTTGTATTTTTAGTAGAGATGGGGTTTCTCCACGTTGGTCAGGCTGGTCTTGAACTCCCAACCTCAGGTAATCCGCCCGCCTCGGCCTCCCAAAGTGCTGGGATTACAGGCATGAGCCACCGCGTCCGGCCCCAATTTCTAACTGCTACTCAAGTAGCTGGAAGCTTGGCACCCCTAAGGGAGTGGGAACTTCCCATGCTAGCTCCTCACTCAGAAGTCTGATAAACAGATTCCTGTTTCCTGTAGGATGGGACTTAGAACAATGGAATTTTATAAAGATTATCCATAACTATCCAGTAAGTGATTTCACACTCATCAAGGGGTTACTTTTTACAACTCTAGCACTGCAACAGAGTTTACAATTGAAGTTTTCCTGGATGGTATCATTAGCATAGTTCCTTTAGGAGGAATGTGAACACCTGCTTTAGTGTTTTGTCCTTCTCTTAACCTTCTCAACAGAGTTATTATTCCAGCCTATTCATTTGAGTAATTCAACTTATCTCTTTGAACTTGTTTCTTCCTCTGCAAGTAAAAGGTTGAACCCATGATCCTTGATATCCTAGATAGGTCTAACCTTTTGTGATTCCATAAAACATTCTTGAAGAGTTAATACGTTAGTTCTTCTCCCCTACCTATGAATGAATCATACAGGCTTTAACCTAGAGAAAGATGTTTAGAGTACTGAGAGTTGAACAGATTTTGAAGATCCTCATTGCCTGAGGGAAGTAAAATATTAAAAGGGCTTTAGCTACCAGAGTTAGAATGAATAATAACAATGGCAACCACTGCTTTGCAAATGTTATTTTAGTTCATCTTTACATTATAGCAGTGTATCCTAGTGCATAATCACAGGCTGTGAAATGAAACAGACCTGAGTTTGAGACCTGAGTTCAAATTCTTATTTTGCCAAATTCTAATTTGCGGCAAATTACCTTAACCTTTCCAGTCTCAAGTGTATTGATCTGTAATGTAAAGAATTTGCCCATGATTTTTTGGGGAAGATTAAATGAAACAATGCATGTAAAGGTCTCTGCAAAATGCATTATATGAAACAGGCATTCAATAATGGCAGCTATTTACAATATTGGAAATGCTTAATCCTTAAACAAAAGTTCAGAACCAGTATCTGAATCCATGTTAATTTTATGCCATATTTCTGCTAAACAGTGCTTCCCCAATACACCTTGCCTACTACATAATTTTCTCTCGACAAGGATGGCTCAACAGAATTTATAGGTTCAAGCCCTAGCTCATTTTCAGAGTCTCACTCCTTCCCAATCGTTGACATAACTTTAACATACAAAACTCAGTAAATTTGGGAGGCTCAATTTTCTGCCTGCAGAATTTTTTTAATTTAATTCTGCCTGCAGAATTAAACTTTGAGGTGGCTTTCAGAAATCTTGGCATTACAACTATAGGAGTTAAGGGTTTATTATAGGGCAGTAATAGAAGCTTCGGAGTTCCTTAATGGTACCCTAATCTGGGAATTTAGTCATAAGCTCATCATTTTCTTTGTCCAAGTTCCTCAGGACACTTAGAAGCAATAAACCAAACTTACCATACACCTTATATCCACTAACACAGTCTATGCAGCAAATACTTGTTCTCAAGCTTTGCCTTCTATTGGCACATGATTACAGGTATCTATAGGTGATCGTTTAAGTAACTGTTTTGTTGTTTTGTGCACATGATGGACTTCCAACACCCCCTTTACCATTGCAAACAAGATCATTGACTTAAAATGTAATCATATAAGAGAACCAATTGCAGATAACACAGGACCAATTGACAGAACACATTTGTAAGGTTCTAATCTCTGGAACCACTTTCAGTGCCAAATTCTTGATCAGTGTTCCATCAGCGAAGCAGAGATTTGACCACAGATAACTGAGAAGGCTACTTACAAGGTCCATGTGAGATAACTTTTCCTGGGTCTGGTGTTGGAATCTAAAGTCTGAAGAGTAGGACGTCAGGAAGGAAAGATAATGATTGTGAGGTGGGGGAGACAAGAACAAACTAGAACTTGGAAGGTTGAGCAGGACAACTCAAGATGGTAGACTGGCCCCTTTGTCATTCTTTCACCATCTCCAAGCCTCAACTTTGAGGTGGCATTGTCCTGCATCAGAGGTTGGAGCCCTTCATCATGAAGTTAAATATGCATCAGGCCTGGAATCTGGAGAAGCTGAAGGAGGATCAGAAAGGAGCTGCAGCTGCTGCCTCAGGCCAGTGAAGTGACAACATGAGTGGATTCCAAGTGTTTTTGTGGGCTGCTCCATCTTCCCAAGCATAGAAAGATGGCTACTGCTCTACTTCCACCTTCTAAATCTCACTCTCGTGTAGCCTGTATACCCCCATCCCATTGTAGCCATGCTAACCTGTAACTATGCATGAAAGTAATTCTGGGAAACAGAGCTCTGGCTCAGGTAAGGTAACACAAAAGCCCACCATACCACTAATCAAAGAAGAAATCCCATCAGAAATAAAAAATGCTTTGAACTAACAATAATGAAAACATAACAAAATCTGTGGGATACAGCTACAGCAGTCCTTATAGGAAATGCTGTGGCTTTAAATGTTTACATTTATAAAGAAAAAAATAAACGATCTGAGCTTCCATCTTAAGAAGCTAGGGGAAAAAAGGGCAACTTAAACACACAATAAGTAGAAAGAAATACACAAGCAGAAATTAATGAAATTGAGGCTGGGCGCAGTGGCTCACACCTGTAATCCCAGCACTTTAAAGGCTGAGGCAAACAGATCAGCTGAGGTCAGGAGTTCGAGACCCGCCTGGCCAATATAGTGAAACCCCCATCTCTACTAAAAATACAAAAATTAGCTGGGCATGGTGGTGCATGCCTGTCATCCCAGCTATTCAGGAAGCTGAAGTGGGAGAATCGCTTGAATCTGGGAGGCAGAGGTTTCAGTGAGCCAAGATCATGCCCCTGCACTCCAGCCTGGGTGACAGAGTGAGACTCCATCTCAAAAAAGAAAAAAAAAAAAAAATGAAATTGAAGACAAGCAATAGAGGAAAATCAACAGGGCCACAAGTTGGTGTCTTAGTCTGCTTGTACTGCTAAAACAAAACAACGGAGACTGGGTTATTTTAAACAACAGAAACTTATTTCTCACAGTTCTGAAGGCCAGGTAGTCCAAGATCAAGGCACCAGCAGGCTGGGTGTCTGGCAAGGGCTCAGTACCTGCTTTCAAGATGGCACCTTGAATGCCGTATGCCCTGGGATGGGGTTGGGGGATGAATGCTGTGCCTTCACATGGCAGAAGGAATGGGAAAAAGGGAGTGGCAGCTCTCTGTAGCTTCTTTTATAAGGACGTTAATCCCATTCACAGGGGCGGAGCTCTCATGATCTAATCACTTCCTAACTGTCCCATCTCTTAATACTATCACACTGGCAATTAAGTTTTAACATACTAATTTTGTGAGACACATTCAGCCCACAGCAGTTGGTTCTTTAAAAGATCAATAATATTGGGCTGGACGCAGTGGTTCACGCCTGTAATCCCAGCACTTTGGGAGGCTGTGGTGGGAGAATTGCTTGAGCCCTGGGGTTCGAGATCAACCCTGGCAACATAGTGAGACCTCGTCTCTACAAACAAAACAAAACAAAAACAGCTGGGTGTGCCGGCACATGCCTGTAGTCCCAGCTATTTGGGAGGCTGCGGCTGTAATGAGCTGTGATCAAGCCACTGTATTCCAGTCTGGATGACAGAGTGAGACCCCGTCTCAAAATAAATAAATAAAATCAATAAAATCAATTTTATCTGACTAATCAAGAGCAAACACAAATCATCAATATCAGGAATTAAATAAGAAATATAACTACCAATCCTATAGGCATTAAAAGGGAAATAGGGAATGTTACAACTTTATGGCAAAAAAATGTATTACTTAAATGAAGTAAACAAATTTCTTGAAAAACAATGTATCAAAATTGGCAACGGAAGAGAGGAAAACATGAAGTCTTTATCTTCTAAGACATGAACTCATGATCAAAAACCTTGTCACAAAGGAAATTCCAGGTTTGCTTTGGGATTGGCAAAGATTTCTTAGGTGGGACAGAAAATGCAATAGCTATGAAAGATAAAAATTGATAAAGTGGTCTGAATAAAAATTAAACTTTTTTTCCTTATCAAAAGACAGTAAGGAAATGAAAAGACAAGCCACACTGGAGTAAATATTGGTAATACATACATCTAACAAAGAATGTGTCGATATTCTTATAATAATACAAAAACAACCTAAGTTTTAAAATGGCCAAAGATTTGAACAGATACTTTACAAAAGATATAAAAAGTTTGAAAAAGAAAAAAAAAAAAAAAAGAAGAAAAGGTGCTTAACATCATTAGTCACAGGAAAATGCAAATTAAGCCACAGTGGGACACTACCTCACACCCACTAAAATGGTTACAAAAAAGGACCGACAATACTGTTAGTGAACATGTGGGAAAAATGGAATTCTCATCATTGGGAACAGGAGGGTAAAATGGTACAACCACTTTGGAAAATAGTTTCAGTGTTTTATACAATTAAACATATACATATATTTCTCTTCCCTAAGACCCAGCAAATCTAATAGATATTTACCAAAGAGATAACATATCCACACAAAGACTTGTACACAAATGTTTGTAGCAACTTTATTAATAATCCCACACCAGAAATAACACAAATATCAGCAAATACATAAACCAATTGTGGTATATTACAATGAAATACCAGCCAGCAATAAAAACAAAAAGCTACAGACATACGCAACAGCATGGATCTCTAAACATGCTAAGCTAAAGAAACTAAACACAAGAGTATACACTATCTGATTTAATTTATACGAAATTCTAAATCAGGGAAGAAAACTAACCTTCCAGTAACAGAAGGTGGATCAGTGGTGACCTAGGGCTGCGGAGAATGACTGCAAAGGGAGAGGAAATTTATTCTGGTAAGAAAATGTTCTTTACTTTGATTGGGGGTGGTGGTTACATGGGTGCACACATTCATCAAAGATCATTGAACTCTACAGTAAAAATGGCTACACTTAATTACAGTAAATTATACCTTCATTAAGTTGATCAGAAAGAAAAAACGTCCCAATGAAGGGAGAGACAAAAGTCACCACACCAGTGTCTGTCTTAATATTTGAATATGCACTAAATTTCTAGGTTTCTATTTGTTTCATGGCATATGTCAGGGGGCCAAGTTTCCATCTAAATAAATGGCTTAATCAGTTAAATTATAATAGAGGAAGATACTTTTATATATATATATATATATACACATATATTATACATACACACACACACATATATTTATTTTTAGAGCTAGCATCTTGCTCTGTCACCCAGCGTGGAGTGCAGTAGTGCAATTATAGCTCATTGCAGCCTAAAAGAGGAAGATATAACAAAATTATTCAAGAAATGAACAAAAGCCTATGGTATGAATGCTTTCCAACTGAGTGATTAACTTTTGATATGCTATTTTGTGTTTACGTTTGAATCGTGAGTTGTCAAGTGTTTAGAAAAACCTGTCAAGTACACAAGTCTGCCTTTTTGGTAGTTGGATCAAAATATTAAATCTCTTATCAAATGTTTAAGAAAATGTGATTAATAAAATAAGTGGTATTAAATGTTCAGGATAATTGGAATTTGCAAATTGTTATAAAGAAATGGGAATGTAATTTCTCATTTTTATCAAATTTACTGTTCTTATGATGTCTTCAAGTTGAGCTTAGATTTAAAAATGCTATATTTTAAATGTATTTTAATAAAGCAAATATTAAAACAAGTATTTATAAGTATTTTTCTTTCCATACCAAAAGCCTGCTTTGACAGTAAAGCTTGTTGATACATGGTTCAAACACTTCCTTCCTGCCTTTCTTGAGAAATTCATTCTGCTTTTCAAGGAAGGTATGTTTCTATTTTATCTGCAAACCTTGTAGACTGGTCTTATGGTTTATAGCAATATAAAAACACACAAAGTGATGCGTTTAAATGAAATCATGTAACAACACAAAATGTATGTATTTTACCTCTCTTACAAAGATAACTTACAGTAAATAATGTTAACAATGTTAGTTTTACTTATATGATTTTTCTCTGTACCCTCTATCTCTACTTCCCCTCAATGTCTTTCATCCTCCAATTTTAAGGTGAAAATATCTGGGCTTCTGCCCTCTGCAACTGATTTCTATTGAGGGCCTATCGAGGTATAATGACAATAATCATTGAATCTAGAAAGAAAAAGCATCAAGCACAATTTACATGAACAATAGCTTCAGTTGACATTTAACTGAATGCTTCTAACTTATTTAATCTTATTAGATAGGCAGTGTTTTAATCAATTTACAGATGGAGAAACCAGGATTGTGCAACTTGCAAGTGGCAGAGCCCTGTTTATCTCCAAAGTTCCTGTTCCTCTGAGGTGAAGTTATAGATTAACCTCCCAGGTTTGCCCTTTCTTAATGTAACTAACTAATATCTTTGAGGATCTTTTTTCTTTTACCCAGAGTGCTAAGTGCTGAGTATACAGATTCATTCAACTCTCTAACCAGTTCTTGTATTACTGATTCATCTGTGGTCAAAATCTGGGGTACTGGTGGGTTTTGTTTCCAAACGATTATGACTTTGAGTGACCAAAAAAAAAAAAAAAAAGTTTATCCTTGATGTAGGGACCATGTTTGATTTCTCATTACTTCCCCTTTTGACCCCTCCAAGGCACTCAGCAAATGTCAGCTAATGAATAAATGAGGAAAAAAAACGGTTGGCTAAAAAGACAGCATCAGAAGAGAATTTGTAGCTAGTGCAGTGCTTGGCACCTATCAGGGATTTATTAAACATATATTGAAGAGAATGACATTTCTGCCATTAATAAATTCCACAAAGTATTTATTGAACTTTAACCATGTCTTGGGCATTTTTTAAGGATGAGTGGTTTAATACAATGATAATTCAGACACACTCTCTACTTCCAAGGAATCTGGCATCTAAAATAGATAAGACGCACATAAAATAGGTGATAGCAGTTAAGTGCTGAAATAAGACTGTCATTCAAGTGTCATGAATTTGAAGAAGTTGGGAAGATCAGGAATGGAAGTTTCCTCCCCCTTTTCTTAGTCCATTCATACTGCTTTAACAAAGTATCTTCAACTGGGTAATCTATAAATAACAAATTTATTTTCTTACAGCTCTGGAGGCTGGGAAGTCATGCTTAAGCACCAGTGGGTTTGGTGTTGGCTGAGTTCCCGGTTTCTGCTTTCAAGATGGTACCGTGTTGCTGGGTCCTCACGTCAGAAGGGACAGAAGAGCTCACCAGTTGCCTCACACCTCTTTTCAAGTCATTAATCTCAGAGCCCTCATGACTTAATCACTTCCTCAAGGCCCCACCTCTACATCCTATCTCACTGGCGAACATATTTCCACATATGAATTTTGGAGGACACATTCAGACCACCGCACCCCTCGAGTTCGTGTCTTTGCCACAGAGAGCATGAAGAAAGATATTCAATCTCATGGTTTCAAACTTTTCCTCTATCTGGGTTAATCCCAAATATATTTGTTCTCAGTCATCTCCCTATAGTTTCCATCTTTCTCCCAGACCTCCTCTCTACATAAATAACCTGCATACACTGTAAACTCCATGTATCAAAAAACTGAACTTGTATAATTCTCTTCCAAATCTGTCCCCAGCTTCTAGAAGATGGGAGGAAAACATGATACAGGGGAATGAGGAAATTCACTCAGTATTGCAGAGACAGGAAGACAAAGACTCAGTCTCTGGGTTTCTGAAAGGTCTTCTCGAACCATACCCACCCACTTCTCAATTTCTACCACGAAAGTAGAAAACGTAACCTTGATTTTCACTTTCTGTCTTGTAACTATAAAAGGTTTCAAAGTCACCTGTAGAAGGTAATTTGGGTCCTCACTTCCATGAATATTCTCTGACTTCCTCTAATAGAAAATAGGAGAATGTGGCAGTAGTGTATATTAAAATGTTAGGACTACTTAACATAACGCTGCTTTAAGAGACCAGAATTTGAGATGGGTGAAAGGGCAGAGGCAAGTTTGATTATTCCTAACACCTATGAGGAAGCCTCTGTCTTCCCCATAGGAAGCTGTCCTTTCTTCTCTATTAGCTATACAGGAATAAGAATCTAGAGGAAGCTTTAACATTCATAATTGGAGTTACAGAATTAAAGACACTGAGACGATTAGCGTGTGGATAACCTGAAATACTTCACAGCTCATTCACCATTTCAACATCAAGAAGAGGGGAATAAACACCACAAACATGGCAACAGGCCAGCTGCTCAAGAAAATGGTGCCCCCCTTCCTCCCAGGCACACAGCTGGATACACTTTCCAAAATCTCTCTGGTGGGCCATGTGACTGAGTTCTGTCCAAAGGAACATAGGCAGAAGAGATCTGCACCACTTCCAGGCCTCACCCGTGAACATTTCCCACGCAGACTTTTCCTTCTTTCCCTATGTGCTCCTTCAACAAAGAGGGCTCTATGGACTGAGAGAAAGGCAGAGCCCCAAGAGGAAGGAGCCGGGGTCGCAGAATGACTAGGTGAAAAGCTGTCCACTGACCATAAACATCCGCATGGGACATTATATGAGAGAGAAATAAACCTTGAAATAGTGACAACTTCTTTGGGTCCTAGTCTCCGGGCAAAGAGGAAAAGCTCAATAAATATCAGCTGTCATTATATTAGGAAATAAAGTTTACTTCTCCTTAATTTCCTTTTCTTAGGCAAGGTGGAGCACCGGGGGCGAGTGGGATTAGTGAAAAGTATTAAATGACGTTTGCCCATTACAAAATACTAATTGATACATTTAAAATAAGATGACATTGTGACAATCACACACAGATTAAAGACATTTTCTTCTGGATCCCAGACATTAGATTTTATGACCGATTTCTTGCTAAAACACTCAAATCTAGTTAAAATGTGAAATATAAACAGAATGTGGTACCCACTTCTTTCTCCCCGTGACACTGAGTATCTGGGGATGTTCTGAAACACATTTAACAACCATATCATTTCTGTGGCTTCAAATTGACAAAATATGTACAAAGAATACTCTGTGCTGCTCTAATATTTAACTGATACAGTTTAATTACAATGATCAACTTTTATTGATTTTACATAAATAGCTTATAGAATGCTTTTACAAACTATGTTTTTGCAATATATTTATGTTACAACACACATTTCCTTATGAAAGTATTTGTCAAATCTTTTTGCAGAGGAAGTAGGGAAAAGTGACGGGAGAAGAGGAGGAATAAGATTTTAAAACTAATTGTCAGCAATGGGTATTTGGCAATTATTTCCTTTACAAAAAAAAACACAGGTTTGTAACTTTGAAACATCAAAAGTGTAGTCCATCAATTTAATTAAAAAATCAGTAGTGCCTAATATATCATCTGGGCATCAATTTTTTTAAAAAAATATATCCAGATTCACATATTTTTACTCTTATTAAATAATGGTTTTAAATAATAATCACCACCATGTTTAGTTACATAATACCAGATCTGAATTAAATCATGGTGATATCGATATTTTTAAATTCCAATTTATTTATTAATCAGTAAAATGTAACAGTTGACAGTGTGCCCAGAGAATGAGCCTCCTATGTGTAGGAAGACAATAGTCTTATTACACCTGCCATCAATTAGGTCAGTTACATAGCTGCTGATGGATCCGAATTTTTTTCCACACTGATGTTTTGACTTGAATAAAGTACTACAAGTTATCATTATCAAACCAACATTGAAGAATTAACCATTCCTGAAACAAGAAACAATCTTTATATTAGTACTTCTTGGTTATGGTGCTTAGTCTTGGTATTATTCAGCACGATGATTCTTAATAAAAATGAGTGGATTGAGGCAAATGCATATAGCCCAGTCCCCTCAATAATTTATTCTCTATCTTATTTCTAATTGTTGTTGAGGCTACACAAACTACAGATCTGCTGCTAGAAAGATACGAGTTGTCCCCTGAACAACATCTGGCATTTTAAGCGTAAGATGAAAATCCTGATGTTCACAGCATCTTCTCCTGGACTGCCTCTATGATCATTCCTCAGCAGTGCCCACAATGCTCATTTCCAAATGATACCATTTGCTTACTATGTATCTTGGCTATACGGAGATTATTTTTTCCTTATAAAAAAAAGAAATATGGTATTTCCTTCTTTGTCCTTACTTAGGAATAACTGGGCAATAATCTATTCAGTCTTTGTAAACTCTCCATTGAATAATTTTTCATTCTTACAACCATTCCCTGCATGGCTGCTGTACTTTCCCTCTGTCATCTCCTTCACATAACTGAGCGGTCCCTTCCCCTCAAAGGAGGAAGGATTTTTGAATGAGCCTCCAATCCTATCCCACAGAGTGAAATATTGTCCATAATTATAGTCAAAGAACATATGATGGTCTGTATGATGAGCTGAGCCATTAATAAATGGCTGTAAGATTTGGGGGACACGAAAATCACCATCATGAATGGAAATTGTCCAGATATTAACCAAGATGTACAGACTTAAATAAACCACCTTGTGTAATGGAAAGATAAAAGGGTATATATGGTAAGGTAGACTCTGAAGAAAGCCATCAATAGGGTGAAAAGCATGACTTGCAAATGGAGTAGGAATCTTCCAAGTATGGTGAGGTTTATGTAGGCGCTACAGAAGAAAAGGACACAATTAGCACTGCAAACTTTACCCCATGCAACATTTAACTTAGCCTCTCATACTCATGTTGGAGACGACCTAACTAACATATCCTGTAGAAATCAGCAAAATTATTTATTCTATAAAATATCCTTCTTTGCCCTAAAACAGTATAATTTTATACGGATTTATGGGTACAAATGCAGTGGTGTTCCATGGATATACTGCATAGTGGTGAAGTCTGGCTTTTAGTGTACCCAGCACCTGAATAATGCACATTGTACCCAACAGGGAGGGTCTCATCCCTCACTCTTCTCCCATCCTCCCATCTTCCAGAGTCCCTAATGTCTACTGTTCTCTCTGTAAGTCCATGTGTACCTGTTGCCAGAACAGAAGAACTTTAAGACAGCCCCTTAGACCCATAAAGAATATGAACAAAATGCACCCTGTACCTGTTACGATTATGGCTAGACATTTAATATGGTTAGAGGAAATTCTTGGAAATAGAGAATGGAATTTATAACCATACATTGCTGAAATGTGGAACCTTTTTTTCCTCTTTTCCCCACAAATGACTTTACCTTATATACCAGTCTATGATGAAGGCCTCTGTGAATCCAGTAGATGAACATGTCAGTGAAAAAGAGGAAAGATATGATACTAATGATGAGTTCAAACAATCCTAGAAAAGAAAACGGGAAACAGAAGAATCAAAACTCAGCTTCCAGGGTTAGAGTTCACTTTTCACATGTCCATCTAAGTGTAAAATGGGATCCTAGACTCAAACACTATAAACGATCTGTTTCCGCTAATTCAATATATTATAAATTAATCTCTCCTGGCTTCCTGGAATCTGGCCATTTCCTCATTTCCCTCTCATAAGTACCTGAAACGTTCTACCTAAAGTACGTCTTAATTAAACTATGAAGATATTTATGAGACAGGATACTCCTAAGACATCTTTATTATTTAAATCTCTGGGAATCATCACTTCCTTCATATTAATCTTCCTAAAACCCATCTTTACACATTATCTCCCTGCTTAAAATTTACTTCCCACTAAATACTTTAAATTTAGCATTTATTCCGCACTCCAACCCTTTCGGATCTTTCCAACCTCATCACTCCTGTATTCCTGCTCTAACCGGGCAGGTTTACTCAACATCTTCCCACTATCTTGGAAGTCTTATCTCTGTACCTTTCCTCACAGGGGTTCAAGAACCTAAAATGCCCTCTCTTCCTTTATTTTTACTCATAATCATATCCATTTTTCAAAGCCCAGCCAATATAGTACCCCAGTATATAATTTTTTGTTCCATCTTCTAATTTTTTTTTTTTTTTTTTTGAGACGGAGTCTTGCTCTGTCGCCCAGGCTGGAGTGCAGTGGCACAATCTCTGCCTCCTGGGTTCAAGGGATTCCCCTGCCTCGCTCTCCCGAGTAGCTGGGACTACAGGTGTGCACCACCACACCCCGCTAATTTTTTGTATTTTAGTAGAGATGGGGTTTCACCATGTTGGCCAGGATGGTCTCAAGCTCCTGACCTCATGATCCGCCTGCCTCGGCCTCCCAAAGTGCTGGGATTACAGGCTTGAGCCACTGCGCCCAGCAATAACTGACTTCTTACTTAAAGAGCAGGGGTGCTGGTGCCAGCAAGCGTGAGTCCAAGTCTCAGATCTACCACCTACTCGTTACTGAAACTCTCTGTACACCTCATTGACTCACCTATAAAAGGAGCATAGTGATAGTATCTATCTCATAAAATTGTAGGAAAACAATGCACTGATTCTTGTGAAGAGCTGAGAACTGTCACTGACACATTATCAGCCTTCAAAAAATAGTATGATTGTTTTTCACATACTAGATCCTAGAAATGTGTCCTGAAAAAGTTTCAAAATTTCACAAAAGTTTAGTCACTACAGGACTATTTATACTATAAAAAAGGGTAACAATCTGAAGGGCTAACAATTAGGTATCATTTACATAACTTATGAATATCCACACAGTACTATGACTAATATATTACATAATCTCAAGATTTTTTGACATGAAAATACAGCCATGTAAGTTGCTAAGAGAAACAAAATGCAGAGCCCAAACCACTATGCACCTCAGGACTTCATTTGTGAAATGTAAACAATGAAGTATATAGGCACAGAAAAGCGGGTGGTCGTGTGCCAGAAGAGCTACAGTTTCTAAGCAGCAGGATAATGGATTAAAAACCTCTGTAGTTTTTAACTTTCAGCAATTATCATAAGCTACTCAAGTTTTTTTTTTTTACAAGATTGAATTCAGTAATAGAAAACAAATGCAAGGACCCATCTCTGATCACTCCAATCTTCCGCTAGACACAATCTCATCTACAACAGACTTTTAGATTGATGGAAAAACTAAAGAAACGCACATGTGGCAAGACATGAACACATGAAAATAGAACATTAAAAACAATCGAATAATTTGTAATTACTTTAAAAGAAAATTTAAAAAAGAGGCAGATTTTTTTTTTTTTTTTTTTTTAAAGGAAACTAACCTGTGCTTAGACTATTATCTTCCTGACACTCGTGTTATTTACTTACCATATGGAAACGCTCCTAGGTCATCATGTAATTTGCTGTAACCTCTTATCTCCAACAGGAACAGTGGAATAGTAAAAATACTTATCAATGGCAATGCCTGGACGGTAAACTTAATCTCTCGACGGACTTGATTCTGAAAGTGAAATTTCCAATACTTAAAATCACAAAATCCATGTTAAACAAAACAAGCGTAAAACCGTTCTGGACTGGATTTTTAAAATCTCTTTTACATGAAGGGGCTTACCTCCAAACTGTTTCTATTAAAATTTTACATACTTGAAAATAGGTATGTAAGAAAATCATTCCTTTTGTACTGAGAAAAGGCAATAAGTATTTTAAATTCTGAAACCCTTTTTCCTTCCTCCAAAATCTGTATTCCAAAACTTCTATTTATGGAATAATCGTTTCTTTCCTAATTAATTTCCATCCCCAATCCTCTATTTTTTCTTTTTGCTGTTCAGTTCTTGGAGTCACCGACAAGTACAAACAACTGAAATTTAAAAATGATTGTAAACAACTTCAAAACTACTGAGTTTGAATCCCCTATCTAGCCAAAAAACAAAACATGGTTAAAAAAAAAAAAAAAAAAAAAAAACACAAACATTTCAGTTTGTGAAAATCATATTAAAATAATGACATAAATGTATGCATTTATTTACTCATCAATATCAGCATAAAAATGCTCCAATATGCATCTAACAATATAAGATACTAGACTTACAGTTTTGTTAAAAATGAAAATATCTAACCCATTTGTGGTTGGTCTCCAAAATTTTATTTAATGGTTACATATAATCAGCTTAATCTAAAAATCTCAGAAACATATTGTTATTTTTACTTTAATAGTTAGAAAATAGGTAAAAAAAAAAAAATTTACCTTTAAAAATTGTGGATGTTTCATTAATGCATGATCAAAGACAAAATAATAGCTCAGTGTTGCACAGAAGAAATAAAGGATGTAAGCACCAACATTTGTTACAATCAGAAGATTAACAGTTTGTCGGAAGATGTCATCTTCTGGCCACGTGGCTGGATATACGTATGGTGTAAAAAAATAGTAATCTGCAACACTGAGTACAAGATCCATCACTTAGCCCCTAAAAGATAAGCATGTGCGACAATTAGTTACCATGTCTATATTTTTCCAGGCAAAAATTTTTCAGAAACACTATATCTCAAGTTCCTGATTTAAGAACAATCATATGTAGTACATCTGCTGCTATCAGAATCCCCTACATGCCATATTTAGAGCCAGAAGGGACCTTAGATATCATCTTTAGTCCAATTTCTTCATATTATGTATGGGAATACTAAAGTTCAGTTAGAGAAACTGAGGCCAAGGAAAGGTCACCAAGCTGCTAAGTGGCACAAGCCCAGATCCAATTCCATTTCCGTGTCCTTCCCTAGTGCGTCCTATGGCAGCACAGCAAGTAGGAAAGATGGGAATGCGGGGGACTAGGTACTCAGAAAAACAGTTTCCTCTTTCAGCTACAAGTTTCAGCTGCATCTCTCTCCTTCAAGGACTCATACTTCAGAGATTTTTGCTTCAGCGCTGACACCTAAGATAAATTCCCTAGAAGATATCCATGCTGCCACCAAAACCATAGAATTGAGACTATCTATCTGTTCTTCTGACACTCCCATTGATAGAACAAAGGAAGATGTGTTCTTGGTTTTAAGAACTAGAATACATTTATTTCTCTACACCTCTAATCAACATTCCAGATCAGGAGTTGGTAAATTGCAGCCCACGGGCCAAACTCAGAGCCTACTTTGTAAAAATCTTTATGGAACACAGCTACACCCAGATGTTTACATACTGTCCGTGGCTGCTTTTCTGCTACAAAGGTGGGCTTGTATCACCGCAACAGAGACAGTACAGCCCGTTGAACCAAAGGCATTTACTACCCAGCCATTTAGATAGTTTGCCAACTCCTGTTTCAGATGCTTAAACTCTAAAACACATTAATCAGTTCAGTACATATTTAAGTCCATTCCATACTCATGGTCCTGTTACAATACAGTTCAGTGATATTATGGTCAGCTTTTGTGATCTGACTATGGAATCTATCATTTACAATTGACTCACTCAATTCCTCATTGCATTGTTCGCGCAAGAAGATGTGGTCAGCATCTAAAATACCTCTCTCACTTAGAACTGAAATTTTTGAACAAGAAGCCTATCTGCAAATTGTCTACCCAAATAGATTTCAGGGGTTCAAATGGCCTTTATCTCCTACATACTGGGCCATGTTACTAAACACCAATTTATGAAATAAAATAGCCCATAGGTAACGAAAATTCTGAAAATACTGATTTACTTCCTTGTAGCCTATTTCCTTCACTAGATTCCCTATGAGATTTCGCCACTAAATTCCCACAGGGATTTAAGAAAGTTTCTTAAAAAATAATACGCATATAGTTCAAAATGAGAAACTGATAGGAAAAGATATACAATACAAAGCCTTGCTTTCATCCATGTCACTGTAAACCACACCGTCATTTCATTTCCACCTCTCTGAGTGACCATATCTATTAGTTTCCTGAGAATCCTTACAGTGTTAATTGTAAGATGGAACAACAGATTTTTCTCTCCTTCCTTACAAAACGTGGCATACTATGTACACTGTGAAGTTTTTTTCTTAACTGTATATCTATCTTGGAGATCTTTCCATCCCTACATAAAGATCATGCCTTTTTTTGTTTTTAATGAAACAGGTTTATTGAGAATACAATTCACATACCATAAAATTTACTATTTTAAAGTACATGATTGACTGGTTTTTTAGCATATTCTCAGAGCCATGCAATCATTACCACTATTGAGTTTCAGAACATTTTCAGCACCCCAAAAAGAAACCCCAACCTACACTGTTGAGCTTCTTGGGTATATAAAGTTTTCGTCAAATTTGGTGAGTCTAGGGCCACTTTCTTAAACTTTCTATGCCTTTTTCTCCTTTTGGGACTCTCATTGTGCTTATGTGGAAATGCGTGATGGTGTCCCCAAGTCTGTTCATATTTCTCTTCCCAGTTGTTTAATCTCAATTGACCTAGTGTGCACTGTACATCCAAATGGCCCGAAGCAACTGAAGAATCACAAAAGAAGTGAAAATGGCCAGTTCCTGCCTTAACTGATGACATTACCATATGACATTCCTTCTCCTGGCTCAGAAGCTCCCCTACTGAGCACCTTGTGACCCACAGGAGAACAACCCCCTTTGACTGTAATATTCCACTACCTACCGAAATCCTACAAAACTGCCCCCACCCCTAACTCCCTTTGCTGACTCTTTGTGGACTCAGCCTGCCTGCACCCAGGTGATTAAAAAGCTTTATTGCTCAAAGGCTGTCTGGTGGTCTCTTCACATGGACGCATGACACTTAGGTGCATTCAGAAACCTTTCAGCAATTTCCCCATCACCCAAGAAATGCCTAACAGAAGCATCATGATTAATGTTCAGCATTTCTTCAACATCAGCTTCTCCTGACCTATCTATGGTTTTGGCCATTAAATGTATGGTATAATTAAAGACATTACGTATCATCACTTCATTAGCGATAAAAAATCTTTCAAAATATCTACAAGTTCATTTTCAAACCTTATTGTCAGCTAAAATGTTAAACATTTATTATTGCTGATTTATCAACATCATTTCAAGCATTAAGTAATTTTGAAAACAGGATCTTTACAATTGAACTCTTAAAAGAAGTTTTGATTCCTAGGCCTCCCTTAACTGTGCAAGCAATATACTGGCTTTTTCCCAGAGTGTAACACTCCTTGGAGAAAAAGATTGTATTCTGGCCAGGCATGGTGGCTCATGACTGTAATACCAGTGCTTTGGGAGGTAGGCTTATTCCTTGAGCTCAAGAGTTGGAGAAGAGCCTGAGCAATAGAGTGAAATCCCGTCTCTACAAAATATATAAAAATTAGCCGGGCATGGTAGCGTAGCCCTGTGGTCCCAGCTACCCTCAGGAGGCAAAGGTGGGAGGATTGCTTAAGGAGTTCAAGGCTGCAGTGAGCCATGATCGTGCCACTGCACTCCAGCCTGGGCAACACAGCAAGACCCAAACGAAAAGGCTGTTTTCGTTCCCTCATTTTCGTTACCTCACAGTGAGGTAAAAGTAAATGATTAAAAACTATAATATACAGTTGAGGAGAATTCATAACAGAGTTGTCTAGAAAGTAAATTTTCAATTGACTCTTGCCTTACTTTTAGATATTTTTCACCACACTGCTTCCTAAATTTCTGAATTCTTCCTTGTTAACACTAACATACATCCTTCAGTAGCAGTTCTTCATATATGACGGTTTTTTTTCCATGATCAACAAAGCAATGAGTGGCCTGTTTACTTCCTATTGTGAAATCCACTTAACTGAAACACGGTTAGAATCTTCATTTTCGGTCCTGTGCAATGTCTCCCTAGTTTTCATCAATTCTTAGTCCTTACTACCAACTATAAAACATCTGCAATCTATTTTTCTACTCTTTAAGTCACATGAGGTGGTAGTTCCCACACTGCCACATGAAACTCAAAGTAACAAAACAAAAAAACACCAGAAACACCTGGTAGGGGTGCCAAGACACAATGGGCACCTCAGTCAGATGGAGTCAGAATTTGTCATCAAATGAGTTTGGGAGCTGAACTTAAAGTAAAAAGGAAAACAACTTTTTGTTTTTTCAGGGCTTTCTAGACTTCCAAATTGTGACTAGGGACCATGGACCTGTGTCCCTTTCTGTGAGTTCAACTGAATTATGTCTAATTCAGTGTTAACGTAGGTGTTTACTTAACACATATATAGATATTTGGATAGGTTCCAATTTTTTGCTATTACAAATAATGCTGCAATGACAGGCCCTCATTAGGCCGATTTCCAAAAGCAGAAGAGCTGAGCCAAAGAGTTACACACTCATAACTTTGGTAAATATTGCTAAATCACTCTCCATAAGGGTTACAACTACTTCATAGTCCTCAAACGATGTAGGACAGTACCCTTACCTATTTCTCTACAATCTTACTAGCAGGGACTATCATCAAACTTTCACATATTCATCGGGAAAAAAGGGCTATCTCGGGTATACTTAATTTGCATTTACCTTATTATGAGTAAAGTTGAGCATCATTCAATATATTTAGAACAATTTATACTTTTTTTCTGTGTTTATCTGTTTTTATCCTTTGCCCATTTTCCCACTGGGTTTTTAGTATCTTTATAAAAGTCAAAACTCTAGAAGCTCCTGATAAACAAAGGGCCAAACTCCCTAATATATGACATGAATTATAAACATTTCCTCACTTTGTCAGGGAAGGAAAAATTTAATTAGCACCAAATGCCAGATATTAACATATATTCCTTATCATACATGCCATGTTAATTCATTCAAATAAGAACTTATTAAGTGTTAAGCACTACACCAGGTAATAAGCATATAAACATTAAAAAGACACGGTCTAAATCAGTCTTAAAGGTAAGGCAACTACAGAAACAATTCTATCATGGGACACGTCCTGCAATACAGATATATATGCAAATTCTATGAAATCAGAAAAGACAAAACAACTACCTCAGCTTATGGTAAAAGGCTTCCTAGTGACTATGATACTAGATTTGGACTTTGAAGGACATCACCAGAAAGAAAAGGTTAGGGATAGCCATTCCAAAGAGAAGTCACAACTGCAAAGCAAGGGAAGAACATGATGCATTCATGGCTCACTCCGTGTGGCTGGTGGGTGTTAGACAGGGTGATAGGGGTGGAGCAGAGGGAAAAACATGTTAGGGGATGGACTTGTAAAGGAGATTGGTGTTAAGACTACGCATGGAGGGATCTGCTGTCCTGCTGAGTTTGGACTTTCTCTCACACACTATAGGGAGACACTTAAGATTTCTGGGTAGCAAAAAGATACAATCAGACCCATATGTCATAAAAACCATTCCATTAGAAATCTGGAGTACTGGGCCAGATGAGGTGGCTAATGCTTATTCCCAGTGCTACGGGAGGCTGAGGTAGGAGGACCGCTTGAAGCCAGGAGTTCAAGACCAGCCTGGGCAACCAGCGAGACTCTATCACTATAAAAAAGGAAAGAAAAGAAATGGGTTATCAGTGAGAAGCAGGGAGACTAGTTTGGTTGTTCCTGTGGCAGACTAACCCAGAGAAAATGATAGCCTGACCTCAGGCAGTGGCTGTTAAGACTAGCCAGCAGAGATTTCTCAAGTAAAAACATCCACAGGATTTGGATAACCCACAGATGCTGGGAAGTGAGAGAGAAATCTAGGGCGACTGTGAGACTTTAGCTGGTCTAAGTAGATGGTGATGTCATTGTAATTGAAATAGGGAATACTGGCAGAGCTAGCAGATGTGGGTAGGGTAGGAATATGGGGTGGGTAAGGAATGACAGTATGAATGGAAAATAAATCTTGGGACTCCAAAATCACTAAGCTAAGAGAAAAGTCAAGCTGGAAACTATGTTAGGCAAACCTGCCTCCCACTTTATTCCTAAATAAGATAGCTACAAGAATAAGAAGCTACATCCTTCCCTCACAATTTGCCCTCAGAAAATTCCTTTGTGGATAAAGAACAGACAGAACTCCAAGTCATCCCTCTGAGGCTCACCTGAGACAAATGCGTATCTGACTGCTTCCTCTGCCCTATTGTTTATGTAAAAATGAAGATTCACTGAGCCAGACTAACTTGTGTATTCAGTGGAAGGCTAATCAAGGACTCAAAAGAATGCAACCTTTGTCTCTTACCTACTTCTAAACTGGAAGCCCCCACTATGAGTTGTCCCACCTTACCAGACCCAACCAATGTAGATCTTACACATACTGATGTCTCATGTCTCCCCCTAAAATGTATCAAAGCAAACTGTATCCCCCACCACCTTGGGCACATGTTGTCAGGAATTCCGAGGCTGTGTGAGGCTGTGTCACGGGTGCATCCTTAACCTTGGCAAAATAAACTTTCTAAATTGACTGAGACCTGTCTCAGATATCTGGGGTTCACAATGGGTTCAATGTAGATCTTAAAATCTAATTATCTGTGGCTCATCTTATATCTTAGATATAGGCAATAGGCCACATGTAAATATAAATGTGAAGTTCGAAAGCTAGCCTAGTTAGTATACAGGTAGTAGCTAAAGTAATAAGGGTGAAGACTGTCAAGGGAGGTGGTGCAACAGGGACAGGGTACTAAGTAATATCAGAGAACATAAACATTTAATAATTGAAAAGGATATTGCTATATCACTAAAGGTTGCTAACAGCTGATGAATCAATCTACATGTTTCCTACAGTGCCATGTAGCCCTAATTCAATACAATACCTAGAATAGTATGGTGCAACCAAAAAGAACACAAACATGTTTGATTGCTGTGAGGTTTAGAGACTAAGTAATCTTTTGACATTTGACCCAAGAAAGGTACTCAATAAAATAACACCTGTATGATTATCACTGTTAAGGCAGTCAAAAATGAGTCAAAATTACTTCAATAGAAGATAAAATAGGTATCACTTGCTTTTTGTTTGAAAAATAACTGACAGTAGTTGATAGTAATATTTACTATATACTAGCTAATCTAAATATTTTACGTATATTAACTAATTTAACCCTTTCAAGAAGTCTCAAAAGTTAGGTACTAGTATTGTATTATAGATGAAGAAGCTGGACACAAATTTTAAGTAACTTGCATAGGGTCATAAGAGTAAGTAAATGCTGGAGCTAGGATTCAAATACACACAATCTGGTTGCAAAGCACGTGAACTTCTGCCAAGTTCTATTGCCTCTTCACCACTACTTCAAGTCGTCAACTCCCGAATTTTTAAAAATTCTCAGTGCTTCTACAAACTCATATAATTTTAAGGGGTTATAAGCCCTGAAGTAAGGGGTCCCAAGGACCCTAAATTGAGTACCAATGCTTCAAACAGAAACTTAAATACATTTGTCCTTGCAGAATTAAAGAAACTTCTTCTTAAAACTCAGTTATAATAACAATATTAGGCTTAGAAAAACTCAGTCTACCATTAACTTTTTGCTCTACTTAAAAAGTATAGGAAATAATAGCTAATATTTATTGAGAACCAGGTATCCTTTGTATAACCTCATCTAATCCTTATAACTCAATGAGATAGGTACTTCTATGACCCCTACTTTATAGTTAGGGAAACTGAGGTCAGAATATTTAAATAACTTGTTCAGTAAAAAAAAAACCAGCTGGGATGTACATTCCACAACCTGTTCTCTTTGCTACCGCATTGTGTTATCTCTCAAGATGTTTTATATGCAGATGAGGAATTCTGAGAAAATAGCTAATATTTACTGAGAACCAGGTATTATCTTTGTATAACCTCATCTAATCCTTATAAGCTCTATGAGATAGGTACTTCTATCATCCCTACTTTATAGATAGGGAAACTGAGGTCAGAGTATTTAAATAACTTGTTCAGTACAAAAAAAACCAGCTGGGATGTACACTCCACAACCTGTTCTCTTTGCTACCACATTATGTTATCTCTCAAGACGTTTTATATGCAGATGAGGAATTCTGAGTACCACACATGCTAATTAATTACATCACATAATGAATGGAAAAGCACTCTAAATGATCAAGGATTATTTATTAGGTATCAATCATTAGAAACTTTAAAAATGATAGTGATATAAAGACAACTTGCAGAGGGTTTCTGCTAAAAGTACCGAGCTGCCACAAACTTTCCAGTATGGAAACCCTATCTACTGAGGTCTTGTTTTCTTCACTTATACCACCTCGAAATCTACTCTGCTGTAACACGGGGATGGCAGTATACATTATTTTTCCTTCTATGGTGCTAAAGGAATAGATTACTTCCCTTTTCCTTTCAGTCTCCTCAGACCCAGACTGTTGTCCCTTCATCCTAACTACGCCGCAGTAACAGAGGCTTGCACTGCAATGGTCAGGAATTCTGATACCGACCAATTCTTCAGCCTGATTCCTTTAGCCCTTAAAAGAAAAAAACCCTCCAAGAACGAAGGGAAAAGTAAAGCATCTGTGTTCAGCAGCCGGACCAGACTTCCCTTGAGAAAGAGATCTGCAACACCCAACATCAAACACTGCATTTTCTTCAAGCCCGTCCACGGTCGGCTCTTTCACGTTCAGGCTTCCCCATTGGCCCCGCGATCCCTCCCCGCGCGAGCGGAAGGCCCCTCCGCCCGGACTCCCAGGTGGCGCAGCCCTCCACGCCCCGAGGTCCCTCGGCACAGCCCTCGCCGCCAGTCCTCGGGATGCCAGGCTATCTGCCAGCCTCTCCTCTCACTCGGTGCAGGACTCGGATCCGTACCACCACCGCGTTCCTAGTACCCGCCCAACGCCTGCCATCCAGAGGGCACTCGCTAACCTCCCGCAGCGTGGAGAAAACCCGAGCTCCGGGCACACCCTCCGCCTCGCCCACCCCAGTCCCAGACGCTGAAGTCTCTCCAGCCTTTTTTATTCCATAGCCCCCTGGCCCGGCCCGCTCAAGTGCACTCCGCTTCCTTCCCCGCCCGCCCACACACCCACCGTCCCCACCTGGAAGCGGTACGCCGCCGCTCCGCACGCCACTGCTCTCCAGACTGCCCTGGCCAGTTGGCAGCCAGCAAGCGGGCTGGGCTGGGAGGAGCCGAGCCGGCGCCGGGAGGCTGGAGCGGCCAGCCAATCAGCGACCGGCGCCATAAGCTGATATGACGGCAGATCGCGCGACGTGCCTGCGCGCAGCTCTCCGCGGTCACGTGGGTGCCGCGCGCTCGGCCACGCCCCCTCCTTCCTCTGACTAACGGGAGGGCGGGCGCCCGATACCAGTACCTCTGCGGTGGAGGATGGGGTTTCGGGTTTTGCGTTTGTTTGCTTTCTTTTTAAACTAGCTCTGGTGACCATCATTCATGGTGGTACCAGGCAGGTTTACGGTGTTGATGTAAACATTCCTAGCTGGGTGTCCTGCGTTGAGGAAAATAGACGACACTTCCCTTGACGCGAATGTCTGGGGCGTTTTCTCCGTCAAGGGAGGAGGCGCAAAAGTTCCCAAACAGGTGCTCAAGGTTTTAAGGCGTAGTCCCCCCGATTTTCTAGCGCTGAATGGCTGGAGGCTCCGCGAACCGGTGTATCTAGGGGTCTAAATGGTGGCAAGATGAGGGTAAACATGGACAGAAACCTTTTCACAGTACAAGTTGTTGAAAACCAAAGTTATCGCAGATCTAACTGGCTTTGATTTGCTACACGTGAATCGAGCAGCTCCGATTTCCCGAAAGAGCTGAGCAGAGGCTTCACAGGCAGAAGAGGACGGAGGAAAGCAGAAATAAGGAACCAAAAGATCTGTCGTTTCAGAGTGACTTTCCTCAAACGGAGATTAAAACAGAGGGGACTGACTTGTGATACCAGCTTAGCAACCTCCAAGTGGCAAACTGGGCCACTTTATTACATAAATAATATGAGGAATACATGACAGAAATGAGGGATTTTTAAGGGAAAACGTGATTCGATCTGCCTTCAAAAGACTTCTGGTAAACTTGAAATGTACATAGGATATTGGACAAAGTTCAAATGAATTTAAAATACTGTTTTTTTTTAAAAAAAGGACTCAGATTATATAAACAAAAATTTTAAATTTTAAAAAGTTGTGTCTACCTTCGTATAACACATCATACTAAACACCGGGAACGGAAAGAGAAGTTAAAATAATGACAAAGACATGGTTCCCAACGTTAAAGAGCTTATGCGCTGTGGGAGAAATGGGCATGTATAAATAACTGTTGCTTATTACAAGGAGAGGAAATAAACAATAACTGGTGGTACGGGCTGAGCAGAGACAAAATGGCTATTCTGATGAGGGAAATTAGGGAAGGAACATTGCTTTGCCCAGTGAAATGATTTGAATGCACACTTAATGTTCTTGAGCATAGAAGATAAAACATTAAATGAATAAAAGCTCAAAAGTGAAATGTTATAAGCGAACATCAAATATCCTGAATCTCTAGAATTTTCTCATTGAATATGCCTTAGCTATTACAAGTGGTCTTTATTCTTGGTGACTTGGGGATTCCCAAGAAATTTGCAATCACTCTTGGCAACTCAAAGTAGTAATAAGTTAACCTCAAGAGAACAATCTTGTTAAATACACTTAAAATTTATTTTTAAATTATTTTTTAAGTTCTGGGATACATGTGCAGAATGTGCAGGTTTGTTAGATAGGTATACATGTGCCACGGTGGTTTGCTGCACCTACCAACCCATCATCTAGGTTTTAAGCCCCGCATGCATTAGGTATTTGTCCTAATGCTCTCCCTTCCCTTGCCCTCCACCCGCTGACAGGCCCCAGTGTGTGATGTTTCCCTCCCTGTGGCCATGTGTTCTCATTGTTCAACTCCCAGTTATGAGAATATGTGGTGTTTGGTTTTCTGTTCTGTGTCAGTTTGCTGAGAGTGATGGCTTCCAGCTTCATCCATGTGCCTGCAAAGGACATGAACTCATTCTTTATGGCTGCATAGTATTCCATGGTATATAAGTGTATTAATAGCACATCCTGGGGTGCAGCATTCCTACATGTCTTTTCTATCCAGGCACACTGATGGATCAGGGTAATTTTTTCATTCATTGTTTGCAAGGGCCTATGGTACCAGCCAGCCAGTACCAAGGAATTCAGAGATAAACCACAATACCTGCCTATGTATCTGGCTGGAACATGAACATGGTAACAAACAATTTAATCATTTACTCAATAAATCGTTATGTAATGGTGGTAAGTGTCAGGCACCTTCATATGCACAGGAGATATACTGATAATCAAAAGAAAGTCTGCTCTAAAGAAGCTTACATGCTAGTAAGGAGATAGAAAACTAATAATAGATATATAATACAATGTCAGATAGTGATCAGTGCTATGAAAGAAAAAGAAAACAGGGTAAGAGAAGAGAATCAAAATTAACGGAAGCTGTTAACTTTAGACAGTGTGGTCAGTGAGGTTCTCTGAGAGGGCGGGCAACATTTGACCTGAACAGAGTTAGAAGTCCTCATTCACTTGGAAGATTCTAAACTGAGATTTCGAGTTTGAATTTTTTTAAATGAAATGTTGCCATTTAATGCATCAATAATTTATCAGCCCATGTTCATTATATAACATTATACTTTAATGAGAACACTAAGCACTAAACTGTTTAAAGACCTTTGTCTTTACAAAGATACTACAAAAGGAAACTACAAAGACTGTAGTTTCTGAAGTTAGGAAATGCAGACCCTTTCTGTCTGCATTCGTTCGTTTGCATTGCTATAAAGGAATACCTGACACTGGGTAATTCACAAAGGAGGTTTAGTTTGGCTCACAGCTTTGCAGGCTGTACAGGAAGTGTGGTGCTGGTATCTGGTTCTGGTGAGAGGAACTCGGGAAGCTTACAGTCGTGGTATAAGGCAAAGGGGGAGCAGGCCTATCACGTGAAGAGAGGAAGCAAGAGAAAGAAGGCTCTCTCTTTTATTCAACTCATGCTCTCTTAAGCAACCAGATCTCATGTGAACTCAGAGTGAGAACTCAATCTACTGAGAGGACAGCACCAAGACATTCATGAGGGATCCGCCCCCAACACCCAAACACCTCCTACTCAGTCCACCTCCAACATTGGAGGTCACATTTCACCACGTGATTTGGAGGGGAGGAAACATCCAAATCATGTCACTTTCTAACTGGTTTTCAGATGTGTAAAACAGAAAAGCCTTCTTAATGAAATGTCACTGAATGCATCAGTAACGTATCAACCTGTCTTCATTACATCACATTGGACTGTACTAAGAACACTAGGCACCAAGCTATTTGGAGTGAATGTTTCTGACGAACTGGTTGGGTCACTGGCTCACAAGCACCTGTTTGCACGATTTTTTTTTTTTAGGGAGAAGAGAATCTCCATGAAAAAGGTGGGTGTACAAGTGTCCAAAAGTAGATTACAGGAAGAGAAAGTGTTTATTCCTTAACCTGGCCCCATGGATTGGATTTTAATTTATAGTATCATACTTTAAACTACAAATAAAATCTTAACCCCCCCCCCCCAAGACTGAATAGACCACCTCTTGACCAAAGGGATCCCAGAAAAGCCTTAAAAACTTAGTTCCCAGCTATGATGGGTCAAGGTCAGACAGGCCTCATTGTACTCCCTCCCTTTGTAGACACAACAACTGATCAGCACTGATGTTAAAACAGAGATCATAAAACTGGCAGAACAGATTCTTTGCGGCAATACAATACCAAATTATAAATAGGACCTAAACTCGTGCCAGGCAAGGGTTAAGTCATGTACCCTACACTTAAAGAATAAACTATGTTCTTACTGTCACAAGATTTTTTTCTCTAGCAGCTAAACACTAGCCTTCAGATAAGCAATATTAAAACAATTTGCAGATCCACCAGATGCTAACTGACCCCCATTCCACAAGTCACAACTATGGCTTTCGTCGGATAAAAGACTGGTTTTAGTAACTTTCTCCTGATAAGAATACCACTGACCCATGGGCTGGTTCTGATCAGTTTACAGAAGTTGCATATCTATATGCCTTCATGTCCTGAAAAAACATTTTGACATATAGGGCCTAATGGTAATATATTTAAATGTTAAATCTCCATGCCAAAGTGAACATGGTCATATGTTACATGTATGTTTGTTCAATATGCATGTCAAGATCAGCTTCATGAATATTCATAGCTCATGTAACCTGTTGAATGTGCATATTTAGCCAACCTGTTCAGCATAAAGCTCCTACACTCCAGCCCCTTCTCCAAAGTGCCTATCTCTGGTCTTGGCTGGAGGCACACTTCCAGTCTGTGGGTTGGTCACCTTGCAGGCTTTAGAGTAACGTTTTATAAGAAATTCTTCTCCTTTCTTAAATTTATAAATAGAATAATTTTAAAGTTAACAGTACTTAACATTTTAGTGATCATAGATCCCTCCAAAAATTAAATGACATCTATGGACTTTGTCCCCAGAAAATACATGTGCATACAGAAGTTTTCTAACCATCAACTTAATATTCCTGATTCCCTTTCTGAAATATGCCAACTGATTCTCATAAAATACTGAGGACTCATAGCTAGTAGCCTTCACTTTGTTTTACTCCTACATATCTGCTTCCACCAGCTAAGTGGAATACTTCCCAAGAGTCAACCATGCTTGTTCCCAAACTTCATTTCCATTGTATGCCTCATACGTATGTAATTTATTGAATTGCATAAACTGATAAAACTCGAGTCTGCAAAGAGATCATTTTCTATGAAAATCAAGAAAATGAGTGCTAATAAAAATAGTCATTGTCAGACACTTAGGTTGTTTCCATATCTTGGCTACTGTGAATATGCTGCAATAAACGTGGAAGCACAGAATATCTTTTCAGCAAACTGATTTCATTTCCTGTGGATATCATACCCAGTATTGGGATTGCTGGCTCATATTGTAGTTGTTTTTAATTTAGGAACCCCCATATTGTTTTCCATAATTTTACTGATTTACATTTCCACCAACAGTATACAACTGTTTTTCTCCACACCCTCCCCAACACTTGTCATCTTTCACCTGTTTATCATAGCCATCTAAATAGGTGTGAAGTAATGTCTCACTATTTGATTTGCATTTCCCTAATTGTTGATGCTGAGCCCCTCCTTCATATACCAGTTGGCCATTTGTACCATGTGCATGTCTTCT